ATTGTAGAGATGAGGTCTCGCTAAGTTGCCCAGGCGGGTCTCAAACCCACAGGCTCAGGCAATCCACTCACCTCAGCCTCCCAAAGGTGCGGGATTACAGGCTGAGCTAATTTTTTTTTATTAATTATAGAGAGGAGGTCTCACCAAGTTGCCCAGGCTGGTCTCCACCCCCTAGGCTCATGCAATCCTCTCACCTTGGCCTCCCAAAGTGCTGGGATTACAGGCTTAGGCTTGAGCCACCACGCTGCCTGCCAGTTACCTCTTATAGAGTATGAATATTTCATTTGACTGCAGGGATCAGAAGGTAAACTCTTCTGATCAACACTATAATCAAATAATCACTTTTGGGAATTACTTTGTAATTAATAAGGGTGTTATCAATAATCTGATATAGTAAACAATTTGGAAGTCATTTTTGATAACATATATCACTAAATATTGTTACCTAATGATATTTGTAAGGTTTTGTTTATTCCATTCAACTTCTAGCCTTCTTTTAAAATCAGTTAAGACAAAATAATAGTCATTTGAATCTAAACTAATGTTAACCACCAATTCTGGCAGGTTTCAGAAAGACTGCAGGCTCTAGTTGCCAATCAAGAAATGAATGAGCCAGGCATCGTGGCTCATGCCTATAATCCTAGCACTTTGGGAGGCTGAGGTGAGAGGATTGCCTGAGCCCCCGGGTTCGAGACCAGCCTGGGCAACTTGGTGAGACCTCATTTCTACAATAAAAATCAAAAAAATTAGCTGGGCATGGTGGTGTGTGCCTGTAGTTCCAGCTACTTGGAAGGCTGACACGGAAGGATTGCCTGAGCCCAGTAGGTGGAGGCTACGGTGGCCGTCAGCATGCTACTGCACTCCAGCCTGGGTGGCAGAGTGAGACTCCAACTCAAAAAGAAAAAAAGAAATGAATGACATCAAAATACCTAAACTTCCACCACAACTTTGGATAATCACCAGGGAGAAAGGGGAGCTGGGGGCAGGCAGAAGCAGTGGAACTCGGTAGAGAATGCTGTTCGCCTCTTGGACGCTGGGGCCTAGCCCAGAGATGGAGACCAAATTGAGGTGTGGGGTAGTGCCTGTACAAAAGCTGGCAACATTGAGGCACTTGCTCCCACAGAGGGCCACCTTCACCATCTGCTCTCTCAAGCCTTTTTCCAGATGGAACAGCCTTTTCCTTGCCTAAGTAATGTTTTGCATTATTTCACTCCTCATCTCCAACACCTAGCATTTTCCATCTTTCCCTTGCTTCCTTCAGAGTACAGTCCCAATGTCAGAGTTCAGAAATAAATAAATAAGAACAATGTTGTAAAATAAATAAATAAAACATCCTATGTTGTTGCTCCCCTGCTTCAAGCTCTCAATGGCTTCCTGTCTCTCAGAGGACAATCCAGAGTCCTTGCTAAGACCCATAAGTTTGCCTCACCAAACCCTGAAGTATACCTTATATTCTACCATCAAAATGAATGACCAAAACTTTTGCTAGGATAAAACTAGCTCATTAAATTCAGAACAAAGAACAGCACCTTTAAAATGTCTGCTTTGGACTTACTGCATTCTGAATAAATCTCTTGAAAATCTCCTGCCGTCATAGAAAAGTTAGAACCAGGAGGAAGACTGTGGGGGTCAACATCAGGGAAAAAGATGGGTCGAATCTGATCAGCTGATCTCCGGTTATTGCTAAACTGATGGATCCAGGGATAAAGTTTATATTTATTAATTTCAGAACATCTGCAAAATATGAATATAAAATTCAGTGCTGACTAAATATTTTACCAAAAAAATCTATTTTAAACACTAAAATAAAATGTTTGAAGCTTTGCATATATATAATTCAGTAATACTTAAAGTGTCACTATACACCCTATTCAATTATCTGAAAATGTACATATACATATAGATGAGCAACCAATCATGAATTAAAGATGGGGAAAAAAGTAAACTCAGATATAAATGTGCTGTTCATTCAAATTTGTAAAGTGAGTTTTCAAACTTCAAAATCAAGTAAAACAGTCCAACTAGTTTTTAAACTATGGTATTGGTTTCAACTAAAACAGTTTGCTATCAATTTTAATTATTTTGTGCAATCTTGTTATTTTTCCCTTCTCACCAACCTCCTAAAACTCATACTGCCATCAGGACAATCTATTATTTAAACAAGGCTGCTAAGCCGGGCATGGTGGCTCATGCCTGTAATCCCAGCATTATGGGAGGTGGAGGCTAGAGGACTGCCTGAGCCCAGGGGTTCAAAACCAGCCTAGGTAACTTGGCAAGACTTCGTCTCTACAATAAATAAAATTTTTTAAAAGGGCAGCTACTTATTTCTCTCTAACACACATCTTCTGGCTTTAAAAATAACAACTCTTCTATTACCTTCCAAAGAGGCCACAGAAGTTCTAAGAATCTTTCCAATTCAGCAATGAGAACATACTTGGCCATTTTATAAGAACTTGATTAAAGAAAAAAAAGTTATAATTGCTTCACTAAACTCTTATTCCACTAAAGAAACACGGAGGTGAAGAAGTTTCAGAAACAATGAAAAAAATACTCCTTTCTGGAGCATAATTGTACTGAAGATTTTATACATAAGTCATTTGTTTCATGTAATGCCCACTTTTTAGAAACACTTTCCAGCTTGTTTCAACAGTTAACTAGACAATTGATTCAAGTGGTAATTTGCATAAGTACTTTAATTTTAACATAAGAAACATGTATGATAGATATAAAACATTATGTACTTATCTTGAAATTCACAATTGTTCTAGAAAATAGTCAGATCTGATTCTGATAAATTACTATTTCCAGCAAAAAAAAAAAAAAAAAAAAAGGGAAATACCTGTTAAGTACAAAGTTGGAAGAAAAGAGCATAAAAAAACTCCATTCATTTCCTTGACAAGCATAACCTAGCATAGCTATTTCCCAGGCCAGTCTTCCTAGTCCAGCACCAGGTACCAGAATATTTACTTTAGAAGGATCCCTGAAATGAAATAAGGCAATTATGTCCAACCCCTCAAAGAAAATAAAAAAGACAAAATCCACATTAGCAACTGAAAATGTACTCAATTATTCAATAAGTATAAGCTCACTAACACTCTGACTTCTTAAAAGTAAGAAATACTTCTAAATACCAAAAATAAGAGGTAGAAGAAATTATCATACTCAGAAATCAGGTGAGGTTTAATCCCCTAAAATTTTTTCTGGAAAAAAAAGTCCTCTTACATTTGAAGACTTATGACCGGGGGTGGGGGCGAGGGGGGCACACCTCATCAACCAGGGTACCTGCATAATGAACATTTGTATACCTAACCCTGAATGGTACCCCACATCTTTAAAATTAAAAAAATTAAAAAATAAAAAAGACTTTTGAAGTCACTCATATTCCTAATAGCGATCATCTGAAAAACTGTCCTAGAAAGACAAATTATTCCAAAGGGATCCCTATTAAATATGAAGAGTTTGAACAAAATTATCTCATGATGAGACAGTAAAATAAAACATAGCTTTATTTCTAAATTCTATATGTAATATAATGTTTTATGTAACTAAATAGATTAAATATATGTAAAGTGTAATATGTCAGGTACAGCTTTAAAAACTTACACATTTCAGTTGAGAAAAGAATTTGGGGAGAATGAATATTTTCATGGGGAAAACGGGGAACTGCTTTCTAGTTGAGCATATGTAATGGCAAATATTACACCAAACCAGAGGTTCACAACCAAACTGATCTTCTCCACTTATGAGCATCATATTGCCATCATATATTTTCTTCACCATGAGATCCATTATTCCACTTTCAAACTGCTAAGAACTTTAGCAAAGGAAGGCCTTTTCTCAGAAATTCTGGGAAGTCAATATAATCTTGAAGAAACTTAAATGGTATTCTTATAGAACACCAAAAGAAAATGTACATCAGCTGGCATGTCAATTAAGTAGGGATCTCATTATTTATCATTTCATTATTTCATATTGTCTAAATTTGGTTCACAAATCAAGTACAATTTCCAAATCTACTTTCACTTAAAATTTTTTATTTTTAGACTACATAATTTTTAAGTTTGGCATGTTCCAAACAGCAGTAGGGTGGTCTACTGGTATCCCTTTGCACATCCCACTTCCAAATGAAAGAGAAATAGAGAGCACTATGGGGCTTCTGGAAAATCAGTCTACAAGTATGGCAATATGGGAATTTGCTCAGGGTCATTCAGTCTTATATATTCAAAATATGTGCTGAAATTTTAACAAAGTCTACTTGTTTCACTGTTGGATTTTTATACATAAGCATAAAAGGAAATGTGTTTAAAATGCTTTTTTTTTTTTTTGAGTCAGAGTCTCACTCTGTCACACAAGCAGTAGTGCAGTGGCATGCTCATGGCTACTGCAGTTTCTACCTGCTGGGATCAAGTGATCCTTCCATCTCAGCCTTCCAAGTAGCTGGAACTATAGCATGTGACACCATGTCCAGCTAATGTTTTGATTTATTGTAGAGACGGGTTCTTGCCATGTTGCTCAGGCTGGTCTTGAACCTCTGAGCTCAGGCAATCATCTCATCTCTACCTCCTAAAGTGCTGGAATTACAGGCATGAGCCACTGGACCCAACCTAAAATGATTTCAGATAAACAGACCTATGATGATTAGTAAGATAACCTTTAATACTTGATATAGGCAAACTGATGCCAAGGAGCCATGTAAGAGTGTTCACTAAAATAAAATAGAATGCTTTCCTCTCATTCCAGATTATATACAAGTGTGCGTGCTCACTTTAATTTTAATAAAAAGAGGATGGATACATCCTCACTATATTCAAGCCTACCTATAATTGGTCACCAAACAGGAGCATATTATTTTTAGAATTAGAATTTGAAAAACTCCAAGTTCTGCCAGGCGTGGTGGCTCATGCCTATAATTCCAGTACTTTGGGAGGCGGAGATGGGAGGACTGCCTGAGCTCAGGGGTTCAAAACCAGCCTGAGCAACATGGGGAGACCTCGTCTCTACAATAAATCAAAACATTAGCTGGGCGTGGTGGTGCACGCCTCTAGTTCTAGCTATTTAAAAGGCTGAGGCAGAAGGATCACCTGAGCTGAGAAGGTCGAGGCTGCGGTGGCTATAAGCAGTGTGTCACTCACTGCACTCCAGCCTGGGCGACAGAGTGAGACTCTGACTCAAAAAAAAAAAAAAAAAAAAAGTAAAAGAAAAAAGAAAAAAATCTAAGCTCTAAGATTCTGTACTACTCTTTGTATAAAGGACTGGCCATGATGACATCCTACCCAGGACAAACTCATTCCCTACCAGATTCTCCAAAAGCCCTACTCTCCAAAATTACCTTTCTTTTCCCAGGTCCCATTTGCCCAATCAAAACATGTATTTCCATCCCCACCAAGTGGCTGTTCTCAGCCTAAAATTTTTATTTTTGAGACATGGTTTCAATGTAACCTAGGCTGGAGTGCAGTAGCACAGTCAAGGATCATCACAACCTCAAACTCCTGGGCTCAAGCAATCTTCATGCCTTAGTCTCCTGAGTAGTTGGGACTACAGGAATGAACTACTACACCTGGCTCTTTTTATTTTTTGTAGAGACAATGTCTTACTTTGTTGGCCCATAAGCCTAGAATTTGGTTTTTTGGTTTGTTTGTTTTTTTTTTCCAGTCAGGGTCTTACTCTGTCACCCGACTGGAATGTGATGGACAATCACACACCGCAGCCTCAACCTCCTGAACTTAGGCAATACTCCCACATTAGCCTACCGAGTAGTTGGGACTACAGGTGTGTCCAACCATGCCCAGTTAACTTTTTTATATTTTGTAGAGACGAGTTCTCACTATGTTGCTCAGGCTAGTCTCAAACTTCTGGGCTCAAGCAATCCTCCCACTTCAGCCTCTGAGAGTGCTAGGGTTACTGGCATGAGCCACCATACTTGGCTGTAGAATTTTTAAAAAACTTATCTAAATGGCAGCAGACAGCAGACGCTCTTGCTGTTGTCCTGCCCATTATGCCCTTCACAATGTATCTTTCCTTTAAATAAATCTATCTTTCCGAGTTAAAAAATAAATTAAAGTTAAAAAAAAAAATTATTTTATCAAAGTCATGCGACATAAAGTAAAAGGAATTAGAAGTAAATTCATAGAGCACGCATTTATATCCTTATAAAAAAATCACTAGTTATCAATTTCAGAATGGCTGATGACCCAAGTAAAATATTACCATGCAGAAGTCAGAAATCCTAATAATGGTGGTACCAACAATTATTTTGGTAACTTATGGAAAGTTAACTTTATGACTGATATCTCCCTATCCAGTCTGAGCCGTAAGACTCTCTACCCCCACCTAATGGCAGAAAATATAGTGACAGTGCCTTGAATAAAACTTATTTTTTAAGTTGGAGTCTCACTTTGTCACCCAAGCTGGAATGCAGTGGCATGCTCATGACCACTGCAGCCTCGACCTGCTGGGCTCCGACGATCCTTCCGCCTCAGCCTTCCAAGTAGCTGGAACTACAGGCGCACGCTACCACGCCCGGCTAATTTTTTGATTTATTGTAGAGATGAGGTCTCGCCAAGTTGCCCAGGCGGATTACAGGCTGAGCCACCGAGCCAGGCTGCAGCTGTAGATTTTAAAACTCCATAAAATACTTTCTCTTGTGGTATCAACATTGTGAAACTTGGCTGACCCCTGGTGGTAGGTATACAGCAAACTTTGAACACCAAAAGTGGTTCTTTAAATAATAGCTATTAGTTGTCCAATACAGTAAAAGCCATGAGACACGTGTGGCTACTGAATACCTAAAAATGTGGCTCGTCCACAATGAGATACCACTTAAGTGCAAAATAAACACCGGAATTCCAAGACTTATTATAAAAAGGAACACAGGCCAGGCACAGTGGTTCATTCATACCTGTGATCCCAACACTTGGAGAGGCAAAGGTGAAAAGATTACTTGAGAACAGGAGTCTGAGACTAGCCTAGGCAACATAGCAAAACCTCGTCTCTACAAACAAAAAAATTAAGGCCGGGTGCGGTGGCTCATGCCTATAGTCCCAGCACTTTGGGAGGCCAAGGTGAGAGGACTGCCTGAGCCCGCTGGTTTGAGACCAGCCTGGGCAACTTATAAGACCTCATCTCTACAATAAATCAAAAATTTAGGGGGGGGGCATGGTGGTGCATGCCTATAGTTCCAGCCACTGGGAAGGCTGAGGCAGAAGGATCGCCAGAGCCCAGGTCGACGCTGGGGTGGCCGTGAGCATGCCACTGCGCTCCAGCCTGGGTGATGGAATGAGACTCCAACTCAAAAAAAAAATGGGTTATAAGGCCGGACACAGTGACTCATGCCTGTAATCCTAGTACTTAGGGAGGCGGAAGCAAGAAGAACCAGCCTGAGCAACATGGCAAGACCTCATCTCCACAATAAATCAAATAATTAGCTGGATGTGGTGGCGCATGCCTGTAGTTCCAACTTCTTGGAAGGCTGAGGAGGAAGGATCTCCTGAGCCCAGCAGGTCGAGGCTCTGGTGGCCTTGAGCGTACCATTGCATTCCAGCCTGGGCAACAGAGTGACTGTAACTCAAAAAAAAAAAAAAGGGTTATAAATCAGAAGTGTCTAGCAACCTCAAAAATATGATCCCAGTTGACCTCTCCATCTACTCCCAACAAAAAATTTCCTATTTCAGCCAGACTTCTCACAGATCTCAGAAAAGACTTTCTTGTCTTAATCTTTTTTTAATTTAATTTTTTTGTTATTTATTTATTTATTTATTGTTGAGTTAGAGTCTCACCCTTGGCACCCAGGTTGGAGTGCAGTGGCACGCTCACAGCCACCCCGGTGTCGACCTGCTGAGCTCCGGCAATCCTTCTGCCTCGGCTTTCCAAGTAGCTGGAACTACAGGCCTGTGCTACCATGCTCGGCTAATTTTTTTTTTTTTTTTTTTGAGTTGGAGTCTCACTCTGTCGCCCAGACCGGAGTGCTGTGGCCGCTCCCGG